CCCAGAACTTTACAAGTTCAAGCAGTGTGCTGTATTTATTTCTCCTTCTCTTCTAACACTCTACCTCATTTTTTTCTTTAAAAAATATTTTCTTTAAGATGGTGATTGGGAGGGAAAAACACAACTTTGTTAATAACGTGTCTCTGATAAGGGTCAGATCTCCAATATGAGTATGGAACCCTCAGAATTTCTGTCCAGAACAGAAACAAAGTATATACAGAATGATTTGGAGGTAGTCTCATAGGGAAGGCACTAGGATGCCTGGGAAAGGTTTCTTACAGAATGGAGGTTTAGCACCAGGGTCAGGAGTGAGAAACCTTCGGCCATGAGGTCACATGTGGTCTGGGTGACCAGGAGAATAGTGGTAGTCTTGATAGTAATAGGGAAGTTAGGAAGAGTAAGTTTGGGAGAGAGGGGAATGGAGGGTTTCAGAAAAACCTGTGTAAGCTGATATAGAATGAAGTTAGCAGAACAATTTATATAACAATGTTTTTTTTAAAAACAATTTTGAAAGACTTCAGAACTCATTTCTACACAGTAACCAACCCATGATTCCAGAGAAATAGTGATGAAAAATGCTACCCAGCTCCTGACATAGGTAATGGATTCATTGTACAGATCAAGGCAGGTATTTTCTGAAATGGCCAATATGGGAATTTGTTTTGCTTGACACTGCCTATTTGTTATAAGGATTTTATTTTCATATTTTTTTAAAATTGGGGGTGTATGATAGGGGAATTAAAAATAAATGCTGACCTCTGTCCCCCAAGTTTGAAAGTGAAAAAGGTTAGTATATAGTAGTATCCCCCATCCCTCCCAAAATTCTCCCCCATAAAAAAGGAAAGAAGAGAAAGAGAGGAGGGTAACTGAAATGGTTTATTTGGAAAATGCGCAGAAGACAATGAGGGAAGGTCAGAAGGAATTATATACAGACAAGATAGCTTTGAAAGTTACATGTTGAATTTGTTATTTATTTGGAAGGAAAAGACACACCATACATAGACCAAAATGCCAGTTTTTTTTACTTTGTTTTTTTTTTTTTTGGTGTTAAGGCCAAACTTAAGGAAAAAAAGGTACTCACAATTTGACTTCTTTATATCTTCTTTTTTTCACTTACATTATTTTGGTGTATGTGTGTTTTCTTGGTTCTGTTTTATTTTCACTTTGCATTATTTAATACAAGTCTTCTATGTTTCTGTGAATTCTGCATATTTTTAATTTATGATGGTTTAGATACTGAAATACATGCAGCCTTCCCTAATTGATGGATACCCACTTTTTTCCTGCCAAAAATGCTGCTATGAATATTTTGGTTAGAAAATGACTTTTTCTTTAGGCATTTGACCTCCTTTGGCTATATATCCAGTAATGGGATTGCTGTTTGGAAGAGCAAGAACAACTGAATCACTTTTCTTGCATAATTGGATATTTCCCAGAAAGACTGATACAGTTCACAGATCTATTAGCAGTGTATGAATGCATGTGTCCTCCCACAGACTCTTCAGTAGTGACTGTTTTCTTTTTGGGTCAGTTTGGCCAACTTACTGGGTGTGGGAGAGGAATCTTAGATGTTTGAACTTGCCTCTCTCCTGGTTATTTTAATATTGAGTTTCTTAGATGAAATAATTTGTATAAAGCACTTTGCAAACTTGAAAGTGCTATATAAAATGTGAACTGCTCTCCTTATTCTCCTTTCCAGTCATGGGAACTAGCCAGGGATCTCTTCCTTTTTTAGCTCATTGCTCTCATCCTGGACAGGGTCTAACTTCTGTTCTCTGAAATTGGAACAGAGGTGGATAACTCATAGTTTGAGCATTGAACATGCCCTTCTCAATAGAGAAGGGAGTTTAACAGGATATAAGGCAAGTTAGGTGAACTGGATTCTACTCCTCAGTTTACCTTTCTGTGCTTAGGGAAAGTCATTTAATCTATGGAACTTAGTTTTCTTCTCATCTGTAAAATGAAGGGGTATGGGGTGAACCAGGCAATTTCTGAAATCACTTCCAGCTCAAAAATTCCGTGACTTAACAGATTTTTATTGTTGTTCAGTTGTTTCAGTTACATCTTGACTCTTTGTGACCCCATTTGGGGTTTTCTTGGTAAAGTATTGGAGTGGTTTCCCATTTCCTCCTTCAGCTCTTTTTTCATAGATGAGGAGACTGAGGCAGATAGGGTTAAGTGACTTGCCCAGGGTCACACAGCTAGTAAGTGTCCGAGACCAAATTTTAACTCACAAAGATGAGTCTTCCTCACTCCATGCCTGGCACTCTATCCACTGTGCCATGTAGCTACTGTTAACAGATTTATACCTAGCTGAGTTTGTGTGGTGCTGATATAGGTAGTGAAAGAATTGCATTCCAGTGTGAAGTACCATAATCTGATCCCTACACAGAAACCATCTCATGTCTCTCTAGCTAGGTAGGATGTTGCTGATGAGACATGTGTCTAATGATTTGGCTTTTATAGTTTAAATAAAATTTTGTTTTGAGTTTTTTTTTTTTCTTTGAAATGACCCCTTGGTGGATAGAAATTTGAATGCTCAGATTTTCCAGATTGAGAGAATTTCCTATTCTTGACATATGTTTATTTCACGTACCAGTGATTTAATAAAGTGAGGGTATTTCTTCCATTAATAATGATTTCAACTTCTCTATACCTCAGTTTTTGAGTTGCTATGGTTCAAAAAGTTAATTACCTGGTTGCCAAGTTTGTGGTGTTAAGTATCTCCAAGATGCAATGGGATGATCTTTGGGTGACAGTTATGGTGGTTTCTTGCTGGGCCACTTCTTAGCTTTCCAGCTAGACATGGCTAGCCTTGGCTTAGACAATATCCCCTCCAGGCCAAGAAGAAACATTCAAGTGGGATACTCAGGGTGGTTAATTGTGACATGGGAGCCAATTCATCTAATTAGTACTTAATTTACACCTTGTCTCGAATGGTTCCTTTGGAAATCCTTGACTGATGGTTTTCCTTTTCAGTGCTATGGCAGCAGACATACAAAATGTCATCTTAGTAGTTTTGAGATATCTGTAGTGTTTGATTTTTCCTTTAAAGAAAAAGTTATTTTGTAATGAAATGATCAAATGAAAAAGCATCACGTTGTTTCCCAGCCTACAGGAGGAGCTAGAGTAATGCTTTTTCCTCCTCATAATTTTCTGGTAGTGAGTTAAAATTGTTCTTTTTTAGCTTTTGTGCCATCCCCGTTTTTAATACCCTCAATTTAATGCCTCCTACAATTTGATTGGTAGTTTTATAATCGTAATTTTTCATTTTTGGTGACTTTACATACAAACGATTTTATACAAGGCAGTAAATTACTATTAACTTAAATGTATCCAATCTCATTTTTGAGGGAACAGTGTTTGTACGGTGGAAAGTTATAGATTTGGAGTCAGAAGACCTAGGTTTGAATCTTGGTCTTCGATTTTTGTAACCTTGGGCAAGTCAATTAAGCCCTGTAGGCCTTAGTTTCCTCATTTGTAAAATAACGGTGTTACACCAGGTTACCTTTTTAGATATAAATCTATGATCTGTATGTGTGTGGGGGGGATAGTGGTGGTGGACAGGGACTGTGGGGAGTGTAGTTGTGGACGTATTTTAGTGTGCTTTTTACTTTATTTTGACTCAATCCATAATTTCATTTTTGTATTCCTCAATGAGGAATTTCCCTCCATTAATGCTGATCAGCAACTTTGTCATGGCTGTACAAATGGTTCCCAGATATATAATATCAATGCCTAGTCATTCTCCTAAGTTCCAGTGCGCAATCACCAACTGTCTTGGTCATCTTTAACTGGAATGTCTTGTAGACATTTCAAATGCAGCGTGTCCAAAATAGTGTTCTTTCTTATCTCCACCCCACCCCCTTTTGAACCTCCCTGTTACTGTTGAGTGGTACCCTCATCCTCCCAGTCACTTAGGCTTGCAAGTGTCAGAGTCATTCTTGTCTTCTCATCCATCTCACCCATACAGTCTGTTTTCTAAATATTTTCATTTCAACTTTCAACACCATCCCTTATGGGCTTCCCCTTTTCTCTGCTCACATTGCCACCAGCTTAATTAAGGCCCTTACTGCTTTTTAGCTGGACCATTGCCATAGTTTTCTGGCCTCGCTTCTCCCAACACTAATCTATCCTGCATTCAGTTGCCAAAGTGAATTTCCCAAAGTATAGGTCTGCCCATGTTATACTTTCTTATTCACTTGGTGGTTCCCTGTTACCTCCAAGATCAGATATAAAGTCCTCGGTTTGGCTTTAATGCTTGTCATAAACTGGTCGTCTCCTCCCTTATACTTTATCTCTTATACTTCACTTGCCTCCACATACTCTGATCCAGTCTCAGTGTCCTCTTTGCTTTACCTCACACATATGATCTGCATCACGTCTGCATGCCTGTGCACTGACTGGCCCCCGTGCCTGGAATACAAGGCCTCTCATCTCTCTCTCTTCACTTCCCTTGGCTTTCTTTAAGACTCAGCTCAAATCCTACCTACAAAAGTTCACTTTTAATCACAACTAACATATACCTGAAAGACATTATGATACAAGTAACTAAAGGCATAATGTCTTTCAGGTATATGTTAGACTTTTTTTTCTTTCTGTTTTTAAAGTGTGACATAAGCTACTGGGTAATGTGATTAAAAGTGAACTTTTGTAATATTTGCCGTCTTGTTAAGTGGACATTAAAGGCAGTTTGATAAAATAGGCTATTTATTTAAACAACTAGCATTTATTAAGCAGTGTGCTACGGAATGAAATAGAGGTAAAAAGCCATGATTGAACTATTACAGCTGTTTTGTTGACTATTTGGAGACTCATAAACAGATAGCAGTAAATGGCAAAACTATTATTGGAGTACTTTACAGCATTTTTTACTTGGGGGGGCCTGCTTCAGATTTCTCTTATGTTTTTGACTTTCTACTTAATTAAACTCAAAAAATAGGTTAAACTTTGTTTTTTTTTTTCTTCTGATATGATCCTTCTGTTTTTTCGATTTGTAGAACACTCTTGAGTCTTTGGAAGCCCCGGAAACCCTGGCTGATGTACCTGAACATGTGTTTCGAGGGCTTCCTGAGGAAGTGAGGCTTTTTCCATCTGCTGTTGACAAGACACGGATTGGTGAGTGTCACAGTTAGGAAGAAACATTAGACCAATTTAGCAAAAAAAAAAAAAAAGTAACCTTGGAATGCTATCTAATTTTTCAGATTTTAAGGTAAGGAAATTATCTACATGTTTATTCTTTGACTTGAATAGATGCAACAGTAGTTATGAATTTTGCAACTTTTATCTCAGGTTAAAAATGAATTAAAATGAGGCAGGGAACTTTAAAAAGTTACCGTAAAAAGAAAGTAAATGAGAGTAGTTGCTGCCTAAAAATTGTGTGGTTGTGGCTTGTCCCTTGGTTCTCAAAGAGGACCATAACATCAGGAAGATGAAAACATGACTTGCAGTTGACTTTGATTTGAGTGAGGGAGGGCTGTGTAAGGTCCCCAGCCTCACTTTCGCCTCCAGAGCCATCTGGGTCCAGTGGCCAGATATAGAACAGGATGACTGAAGATGGCTCAGGATGCAGTGGGAGATCCTGGCCCTTTTAAGCTAAGGTCTTTTCAAGTTCTCACTCAAGTGAGGCAACGCCCATTAATTGAGTAGGCTTCTTTAAGAAGTGAGTCAAGGGATGGCCTCTTTAATAAAAAAAAAACTCTCAGGGTTGCTGCCAAAAGAGAAACAATTACTATTTACATTCTCTCAGAGCCAGGAAGGTCCAAAAAATAACCATGGAGTGGTGCTTGGGCAGGGACCTATTGTTGTCCAAATAAGATTATATCAAAGTACTTTAAAAGTTTCTTTGAATATAAAATAGTCATGATAGCCCATTTCCTTTATGGTCCTTCATAGTTTTCACGGTACTATCAAATATTACTCAAATATAACTATCCTTATAATATTACTGTAATTTAGGCAGGGCAGGTATTTCTGAACAGATAAGAAAACTGGTTTAATTAGAGGCTTATTAGGAATTCAGCAGATCCAGAATTCCTGAATTGCAACAAAACAGTTGAATCTCCAGATAAGAAAGGGAGGAAAGTGGGTTGGTATTACAATTAGATGAATTCAGCTAGCAAAAAGAATTAATTAGTGGTGTTGGAAGTAGTTTCTAGTGTTGTCCCCAAGGGTTCTGTCTGAGTTCTGTTCTGTCCCAGAGCTGTGGGGATGGATAGATCAAGTGAGGGTTTTTTAAAGACTGGGGGGACATAGACATGTTTGTGGGCAGTAGGGGATGAGCCAGCAGACAGGGAGAGATTGAAGATAAGTGGAGATGAGGGGGGCAGTCTGCTGGAGGAGTTGGTATAGAATGAGATCACTTGTGCCTGTAGAGGGGTTGGCCCTGGTATCCAGGAGTAAGGCTCTTTTTGTGTGAGACAGGGTGAAGGAGGAAATTGATTATATAAAAAAAGGTATTGATAAAACTGTAAAATTTGTATAACATGTTGTAGAAGTTTCCCAGGAACCAAAGTCAAACCTCTTGGCCAGTGTTTTACAGATTGCATTTGCTTCCCCTTTCTCAAAATTGAGACACCTGCCCTTCTTATGCCTGCAGAACTTCTCATGTTATCTGTAGCCTTTCAAAAATCAGAGTGCAAGTAGCTCAGCAAATTTATCCTCTATTTCTTGCAACACTCAAGAAAGTAGTTGGTAAAGGCCCAGCGGGCCACCTTCACTGGACCCCACTTTCATCCCTGCTTTGATCCTCATCCCCAACAAAGCTAAAAAACGACACCGCTCTTGTCTCCCTTTGCTTTCCTCACTAGTCTTAGCATGCCTTGAGCTTACACAGTCCTGACACTAGTCTTGTCTCACACCACGTCACAATTTTATATCTCTACTCAATTACTTGCTGTTTCCATCTTCTTTTTCAAATCTGAGTTGGTTGGTGAGCTTGTTTTGTATCCACTTCTGACTCTTTAGGCAACAACTTCTTTCCTCCCCATTGTAGTTATTCCTCTTTGTGACTTCAGAATTTCATTTTTGAGAACTTCCTATCCCCCCGATCTGATTTTCTATAAAGATAGTCTACAAAATCCTAATAATCCTTTATCCATATTCTTTGAAATTTACGTTTGACTTAGGTGTCACTAAACATTAACAAGAGCAAGTCACATTGAATTATGTTGGAGTTGGGACTATGGAGTTGACATATAAAATTTAGACAAACATCAGAAGCAGAATGGGAGGAGGGACCTTAAGAAGAGGATGTATTCCAACTTGCCCCAAATGATATGAAAATGTGTTCTCTTTCACTTTTTATCTGAGTATAACATAACAGATCATTGTGCATACGTAAATCCATTACTATGCACACAAATGGGGAAGTGTCAGTGTACAGCTTAAGTAGCGTGAACCAAGACAGGGTCCTAGACCCTCCCTCCCTATCCTGGCCTTGCCCTACCCTCAAACAGTAGAGATAGAAGAGAGTTCAGATCATGTTTTCTGAAGCCCCTATCTAAAGCACATCCTAGAGAACCTGTCTCTAGGCTTTTGCGCAGGCTGTCCCCCACGACTGAAATGCTCTCTTTCCTCACCTCTGCCGCTGAGAATACATTTCTGGCTCCTTTCAAAGCTTAACTAAGGTACCACCTCCTACACAAAGCCTTTCCTCCAGTTGCGGTTGCCTTCCCCTGAAATGCCTTTGTATATGTTTTATATTTATATGTGTATACTTCTTGTTTCCCCAATAGAATGTAATCTGTTTCAGGTCCCGGACTGTTTTGTCTATATCTACATATTTCCATTGCTTAGGATAAAGCCTAGGACTTACTGAACACTTAATGCTTTGTGAATGAATAGAGAGAGGAACCAAAGAGATCTCAAAAGGCCTTGATCCAATGAGATAAACTTGGGGGATGAATGTAAAGTCTTACCTCTTGGGTTAAAAACCAAACTAAGCCAAACAAACTTCTCATGGCTATTTAGGAGATCTTCAGTGGACTGAAAGCTTAACGCGAGTCAACAGTGGGGTATGGAAACCAAAAAAGATTATAGACCTGGGGTCAGACCACATTGAGAGTATTTTTTTGGGGGGAGGTGTTAAATTTTAAGAAGGATATTGATAAGTTGGAGCATGTCCTAGGAAATGCTGGAATCAGGGAGGTGTAGGACCTACAATTTATGAGTTCTGAGGTTTCTTTGAAAGAATCAAAGGTGTTTGATCTAGAGAAGGTTAAGTCTTGGGGGAGGAGCATATCTATCTATCTTCTAAGAGTGCCTAATATTTTGTAGCTGTTAGATCAGTTTTTGATTAATTGAAAAAATATGTGAAGGAAATTAATATGATAGAGAGATCAGATTTATTCTGCTTGACTCTAGACAGCAGAGCTGGGAACCGTGGGTCAGTACTGCAAAGAGGCAAGTTTAAGCTTGAGATAAGATAAAACTTTACTAATGCAACTATCCCAGAGTATCTTGGGTTCTCTTTTATTGAATGTCTTTAAATTTTGGATGGATATCGTGGTTGTTTGGTTTTCATACCAGTTGTCCTAAGTGGTGTATAAGATTCTTTTTAAGTCTGGCATTATGTGATTTCTAAGAAAAGGCAAAGAGCTAATTTATAGTTTAATAATGAAGTTTTAGCTGTAAAATATAGCAAACTTGTTGCAGAATGAGTCCACTCACCTTAAATTTTGTTTATAATTAATACTTAGCAAATAAAACTATAAGATTATAGGAAAATTTGAATTGTACTCAATCAGCCAAGTAATAAAGCATTCTGGATAGAAGATTTTTCATTATGATTATTCCATAAGCTTTAAAGTTGTGAAGGGACCTTATCTGCTGTAATGCTCTTGTGTTATGGAGAAAATATAGATCCAAAGAGTAGAAGTGAACCAAGTTCATGTGGTTAATAGGAGTAGCAGAACTGGAGCCTGCATTTGACTCCTTTGACTTTGAGACTTTTATATTTAAACTATTTTTCATGGAAATCTTGCAAAATGTGTTTTGTGCTAGACGCTTACATAGAATATTCTGAAAATAATTTAGTTTTTTCTTAATGATTCAGGGTCCTCATCACTTACTTTCACTACTGTACTGGAGTACAGTGATGTTCCCAGGGCTTATTAAGGTATATTAGGCTATTTGCCCCTATACAAAATGACTCTATATGGTTAGGCATTTTGAGTTCTGTCTCTGGTATTCCCAGTGCTTCCTTTCCTATGTAGTCAGGCTGGCATCTGTTAGTTCTAATAGCGTATATTCCTATGGTGATCTCCCTATCTCTAGTAAGTTTAATAAAAACTAATAAAACTTCTCTTAATCTGCTAAGGGTTTGAAATGAACCCTGTTTGCTTGTTTGGCTTTTGTATGAAATAACAACACGGAAGATGGAGGACCCACGGGCCCTCTCGGAGGAGGAAAATACTTGTTTGTTCTCTCGGGCAACATGGACTTTGACATTCCCGTGGGCTGCCTGGGAGGGTCTTTGGGGGAAGCTTCCTTCCTAATTTGCTTTGGATAGATGGGACTGGATAAGTAAAGTGTTACTTTATGTCATGAAAATACTGTCTTGTGATTTTAATTTTGTTTTCATAGTTTTTGATCAAACTAAACTTATGAACGGGTGAGCATTGGCCAGTGAATTACACAGCTATGAAAAGATCCCTTATGTGGTAGTTCCAGTTTTGTTTATCTTTTAGATGTGACCCATTCCTAATGAAAGATAAGATGTAATCATGACTATTTAAGATGAAATGTAATTAATTTATGTAGTGAAATTTATCCATTTGATGTGGTGATTTGTGTATATTAAGTTGTCCTATAAAGTATTTCTTTTAAATTAATAATAATTTGGATCTTTTATGTAACTATAATGGATTAAAATAATTTTAAAGTAAATAATTTATTTAAATATTTGTCCTTAAATATAATACAAATCCATTTAAAATATAATGTTTAGTTTTGTGATATATATAGTTTTGCGTTCTTTTGATATGTTAAAATATTTGTACTTTTTTCTTTATTGTTACACAAATTTTTTGTTGAGCCATTTTGTTAATGAAATGTTACTTTTATGCTAAGCTAGCCTTTTGTGCTCTACCCTTGTTTACTTTATGAATCTTGCATTTATTTTTACTCTTTAAAAACTCAGTAACTCAATCATGTTGTTGCTGATTTTACCTAACAGGTGTCTGGGCTGCAAAATCAATTTTAAAAGGGAAAAAGTTTGGCCCATTTGTTGGTGACAAGAAGAAAAGATCTCAAGTGAAGAACAATGTGTACATGTGGGAGGTGAGTATACACATGGTTCTGAGCCGAGCTGTGGACAAGGGTTATATGGATTCTTTTTGAACATTTGATTTTTTTCCCCTGAAGATTTGACATTTCCTAATCTACTTAGGAATGTTTACATTAAATGAAATATTCTTCCTTGGAGCACAAATAAGAGATTGTACAATTATTTTGCTTCATGAGACTGAAACTTAGCTATGTTCTGCACTGTATCACCTGCAGTTTTATATTTAGCCCTAATCATAGTGTTAGTCTTTGCAATAAGATCTTGACCTCCTATAAAATGGTCTGTCACTTTATAGGGCTATATATATATATATGTCCTGTGAAAAACATTTGATACAAATTTAAAAGTTTTTAGGATTTCTAAAATTATGAGAAATTAAGATGTAACACTTTCCTTAATTTCAAAGGAAAGGGTATTTTGGTATTTTTTCTTTTCATTTAGCACTACAGACTTTTAAAAAATACAGATCCTTTTCAGAAAGAGTATTCACTCTTGTTCGCCTTTCCCATTCCCTTTATAAATTTATTTTTACAGGGAAATTGATTTAATTTAAAATACTGATTGACTTAGATCGAACACAATGTTTGTTTAGTTGTTTGGATTTATATACTTTATCCCTTGTGCCGACAATACAGAGTGCCAGACATGGAGTTGGGGAGATTCTTGAGTTCAAATCTGGCCTTAGATGCTTACTAGCTGTCTGACCCTGGGCAAGTCACTTAACCTTGTTTACTCAGTTTCCTCATCTGTCAAATGAGGTGGAAAAGGAAATGGCAAACCTCTCCAGTATCTTTGCCCAGAAAACCCCAAATTGGGTCACAGAATTGGACATGACTGAAACAGCTGAACAAAAACAAAAACAAAATTATATACTCATTGTTTTTCAGAGTGCATTTGTATATGTAAATATGTACACATACATATATACATATAAATATATATAATATTATTATTGTTATAATGAGTCTAGTAGGTTGTATTCCCAGCACTTAACACAATACCTGGCATATGGTAAGTACTAAATAAATGCTTGCTTGTTGATGGATTGACTGACTGACTATAATATTAAAAATAGTGATCGGCAATTATATAGTACTTTAAAGATTACAGAGTACCTTCTTTGCACCACCACTTTGGGATAGGTGGTATAAGTATTCTTGTCCCCTTGTCATAGATGAGGAAACAGATATTCAAGGAGGGTGATCCTTCTGGCTCTCATGTGAAGTGCTCGTGTCTTTTACAATGTGCTGAGGTAGCATCTTTTCACAGAAAATGGCGGGAGTAGATGAGCTCTCCACAGGAGAGTTCAAAGAAATTACGAGAAAAGAGGACTGGAGACTGAACTGGGGAGAAGACCCACTTTTAGGGGCTAGGAGTGGAACAAAGATGAGTGGGTGAAAGAGCTAGAAAGGGAGTAGTGAGAAAGGTGGGAAGAAGGAGGGAGCATCAGGCCAGTGCAGGCCACGTAAACCAGGAGAGGAGAGAACAGCAAGAAGTAGGATGTGTATCAATATCATGTGTCATTGTGAGGTTAAGGATGAATGATTAAACAATATTTTGGAACTACTTTGTCATAGTCGTTAGGTAATATTTTGACCTAGCAATTTAAAATAAGGTCCTCATTTTGGGTTTACTGATTTGTATGGGATATTAAATATTTAATTTTGGGAGAAATTTTCTCTATTATTTATTTCTCCCCCTTCTCTTCCCCCCAAAAAAGAAGGAAAAGGATAGAGTCAGTAAATTGCCGGGCTCTTTATTTATTTATTTATTTTTTAATTACAAGTGTTGAAGAGAATATGGTTTCATGAAGCTTAGCACACATGGAAAGAAAATTGTGAGTTAAATATAGGGCCTTAAATGCTGTCCAAGCAATGTGTAGGTAGTAGTAAGCCATTGAATATTTTTAAGCAGGTCAGATCTTTGTAGAAGAAAGATTAAGCTGGTCGTGGTATGGAGGAGGGATTTGAGTGGGAGAGAATGGGAGTAGAAAAACCAGTTAGCAGTCTGTCTTAATAGTTGAGGCAGAATAAAAACAGCAAAAGAAATCTGAGACATAGGTTCCTAAATAGAAAAGATGCTTAAAATCCTAATCATATGGAAATTTATGGATAATATCATTCCCATAGGTATAATGACCATGCTTTCTAGATTATTTGCTGTTTGTTGAGTTGAGATGGTTGAAACAGTGGAGAGGGCACATAAAATAAACTGAGAACATGTTCAATGATAGTAAATCCATATGCTAGCCCCTCAGATTTAGCAGAAGAATTCTCTGGATTAGAGAATAGCCAAAATAATAGGGAAATCATACCTGGAGGAGTTGGCTGTAATGTGACTGAAAGAGCAATAAACATGGTATTAGAAAACCTGAATTCTGATCTTTTTTGACTCTCTCTGTCTTTCCCTCTTACTGTCTCTGTCTGTTTATCTCTGTTTTTTTCTATATATGTTCTTTTACTTGTCCTGGGTCACAGATCCTCAGGCCTCTTGTTTTACATATCCTCTGTCCCTTGGAAATGTATGTAGAGAAGCCTATCCTGATCTCTCAGTTACCAGTCCCTTTCTGCTGTTATGTTTTACTGTTTTGTGTGTATGTATAAATGTATGTCTATATGGATGTATGTACTAATTTTTATTTATGTGGCGTATATTTTTATATGTACTTGTATCACTATTAGAATGTAAATTCATTGACGGCAGTAATTGCTTCCTTCTTTATACTGGTATCTCCAGTGCCTCACAGTACCTGGCATATAGTAGACACTTAATAAAGACTTATTGATTGATTGAGGGATTTGTAAAATAAGGGATGTGGTTTAAGTGATCATTCAGGTTCCTTTCAGCTCCAAATTGTGTTGTCATCTTCCCTTTTCTCTCTTATTCTTTTGCAAGATAAGATTATTCCTGAAAGCTGTGAGAACCCAAACCTTTAGGGTGAGGTTTTTAATGGATAGTAGAAATATAAATAGCAGTGAAGTTTGTTTTTATTGATTGAGGTTTTTATCTCAGGTATGTACAGCTAAAATTCCATTACAACAAATTCAAAATTAGTCCATCTAAAATATTTCAATTAATTGGAAGTTGGTGGTAATAAATGACTGGTGCATTTGCTAGACAGCGATCCAGAAAAATCGCTCTCTGTTTGCTCTGTGCACAGATAAGGCAGAAAATGAAGTGGGTGGAAGGAAGTAGTTAGAATACTGAGAAAAGAAAAGAAAAAAGTTTTTTTTCTTACCTTCTCAGTGCTGCAGTGAAGGAAGCTTATTTTCCCTGCCCTCCTCTCTTTGCATATGTGGGCTCCTGGATGTTTATGTATGTGTGCTTTCTCTTGATTAGTAGCTTGGAGCCTTCAAGGGGAGGAGAGAGTTAGGGTGATGAAAGGAAATGGAATACTTTAGTTCTCTTTTCTTCCTTCTCAGCCTTCAGTTTTCACCTGGAAAATAAAATTTGAATTTTAAAGTGTTGGAATAGACCTTAGAGATCATCCTCTTTGAAGCTGTTTTTAAAAAATCTGTAAAGTGGGGATAAAATACCTGCAGTACCTCACATGGTGGTTATGAAGCTCAGCTTGGGTGGGGGAGAGGGGAATGGGAGAATGTTAGAGGCAGTTACGTGCTATGATAAGAGAGAATGCTGACTTTGGAGTCAGAAATATCCTGCTTCTGATACTTCCTAGCTGTGTGAACTTGGGCAAGTTATGTAACCTCTGTTTGCCTTAGTTTCTTCATCTGTAAAATTGGAATAAGCATACCTACCTCTCAGGAGTGATATGAAAATCAGATCCAATAATACAGTCAATTCTCAATGTTCCTAGAAAATGGCACAAAAGTAAAAAATGTGAATGTTGATACATTGAACCTCTGAGAAATAGGGGGCTAGGTTCCTGTGACCACCAAAAATTATAATCTTTTGCTAGAGATTGCTAAAAATGCACTTTTCTACATGCAGTTCTTTATAACAAAGCACTTATTCTGATAATATATGCTTTTTCTACCACAATAACCATGAAATAACCCATGAAATACAATACACAAAATAAAATTGGTAGCATTTTTTTCTCGCTAGTAATTCCATGACCTTTTGTGCTAACATCTCAATTAAGAAAACAAACATAAAAACATGGATTTTGGACAGTATTCGTTTTTCATAACATATCTACAGTATCATAAATACTCTACAGCAAATAAGATTCTTAAAACCAAAACATGTTTTAACCTGAATTTTACCTCCCACTGTGTCAAATGGCTGTGTAAGGGCATTGTACTGCTGTAAACCTCTGTAAGGGTATTGTACTGCTAGAAACCTCTCTACCTTGGCTGCCCTCTGAATATTAAGAAAGAGGGTGCTGGGACTCAAGCTATTGCTGTTGAAGCATGCTGAGACTGATGAGACATCACCTCTGACACTCTCTCCTTCACGGCTGGTGTTTGGTGTCAGAGACGGTGAAGGATGCACTGGGTAGAAATAAATCTGTCAGTGATGCCTGCTGTGTGCACTGTTTCAGCTCCTTAAGGGTCTCAAAGTATGGGAGCACAGCAGAGCCTACTAGGATACCAGCTGCTCCACAAACTTGTGCACATGACACCTCATTTATTGTGCCTAGCTGCAAATGTGCAGGGTTACCAATGCAAAAGTGAACGTGAGGTTACTAATAAAATTACACAAATGCTTGCAGTTGCAAAAGCTAAAAGTTTGATTGTTGAGGATTGACTGTATATGTTAAATGCTTTGCAAGCCTTAAAATGTTCTACCAACGTTAGCTGTTACCTCTCCCAGCCTCTTACTTTGAGGAATCTGGCCTTCAGAGAGGTTTATGTGACTTGTTCGGATGAACCAGTGAAAATGGAGTAGCAAGTTATGCAGTTTAGTACAATGGGAAGAGACTACTTCTTTCAACTGGTTGGAGAACAAGAATTTATTACATTTCATCACAGAATCATAGAATTTGAGAGTTGGAAGAGACTATCTTGTCCAATCTATACATGAAAAG